TTTTGTGTCCATATGCTCAACAAACACATATGATTTTCCCATTAATATTCTGTGATCCATTTCCATTAGAAATGCTTCCAACAAAGGGCTAAATAGTTTAGAAGAGTTTCATAGTGCTTTACATGATTTCAGTGAAAAATAATCTGTTTCTCTCTAGATGTCATATAGGGATGCATTTTATGTATATTCCCACAGTTTAGAACAATGCCAAATCATTACACATATTTTCTGTGGTGGCAAAAAGACACATGACCATTTCTGCTGCTTTCCTAAAGCTGATCCAGGTCCAATTAATTCTCTTTGCTCTTAGAATATTATTGAGTGCATCTGTATTTTATTAAGACCTTTGAATCTTTATGTACATATGACATTGGTATATAGAAATATTTACACAATAATGGGAAAACAGTATAATCAAACTTACTAATGAACCAGTTCGAAATAGCACAAATTACCTGCAGGTTTGCATTACTTAGTAGACATACAAGTAATTATGATTGTGTGACACAGTGAGACCCAATGCAGGAAAACACATCTTCTAGACTCAACACAGGACTTCACTGAAACTCAGAGTCTCATAACCTCCTCTTAGCTCAATTATCATTGTATTTGGGGGAGGGGGAGCATGGGGTACTGGGGATTGAACCCAGGGCCTTATGTTTGCAAGGCAAGCACTATACCAACTGAGCTCTATCCCCAGTCCTATCATTGTCTTTAAAGGAAAATATTACTAGGTGCCAACCACAGCCTCCTTAATATTTAATTAAATTTAGAACAGGTAAGCCATCGATAAGTATACCTACATTATGGGTATTATATTTAAAAAACACATCTGCCTTTGTAAACATATAAACAATAAAAATATATCTAGGAAATAGAAATGAATTCTTTTTTAATTAGAGCTTTGTAGTTATGCATAGTAGTGGGGTTCATCCCAACAAACTCATATATGCATGGAATTCCATTTCAGTTTATGATTCTCCTTTTCCCTCCACTCTCCCATTCTCCTTTCTCTGCTCTACTTGAGTTCCTTTTACTATTTCTGTTAACACAGCTCTGTAATATAATTGGAGATCAGGTATTGTGATGCCTCCAGCATCATTCTTCTACCTTTATTGATTTGCATATGATGAGCCAACCCTGCATTCCTAGGATGAAACCCAGTAGATCATGGTATATTATCTTCTTGATGTGTTTTTAAATGTGTTTTGATAATATTTTGTTAAGGATTTTTGCATCTACATTCATCAGGGATATTGGTCTTTAATTTCCTTTCCTTGATCTGTCCTTGTGTAGTTTTTAGGGTTATACTGGCTTCATAGAATGCGTTTGGGAGTGGTCCCTCCCTTTCAATTTCATGGAATAATTTGAGAGAGACTAGTGTTAGTTCTTCTTTAAAAGTCTGTTAGAATGCAGCTGAGAGGGGCTGGGGATGTGGCTCAAGCGGTAGCGCACTCCCCTGGCATGGGTGCGCCCCGGGTTCGATCCTCAGCACCACATACAAAGATGTGTCTGCTGAAAACTGAAAAACAAATATTAAAATTCTCTCTCTCTCTCTCTCTCTCTCTCTCTCTCTCTCTCTCTCTCTCTCTCTCTCAAAAAAAAATTAAAATAAATAAATAAATAAAACAGATGAAAAAGTACAAAGATTAAAAAAAAGAAGAATGCAGCTGAGAATCCATTTGGTCCTAGGCTTTTCTTCATTAGAAGGCTTTTAGTTACCGTTTCAACTTCATTACATGATATTGTTCTTTTTAGGTTTAGGTCTATATCATCCTGATTCAATTTGGACAGGTCATGTATGTCTAGAAATTTGTCTGTGTCCTCTAGATTTTACAGTTTATTGGAATATAAATTTTCAAAAATAGTTCTATAACAATCCTCTGGATTTTAAAAAGGCCTGTGGTTAAATCTCCTTTTTCATCTCTAATTTTATTCATTTGTGTCTTGTCTTTCTTTTGGTTAGTTTGGCTAAGGGTTTTTCAATTTTGTTTATATTTTTGAGGAAACAACTCTTTGTTGCATTGATCCTGTGTAGTTTTGTATTCTCAATTTCATTAATTTCAGGTCTGATATTTAATATTTCCTCTTCTACATATATAGGAATCATATGTTCTTCCCTTTCTTAGGCCTTTTTCAGAGCTTAAGATTAACTATTTAGAATCTACTCTTTAATGTAGGTACTCAGTGCTATAAATTTTGCTGTAAGAACAGCCTTCAAAATATCCCACAGATTTTGGTATGTTGTGTCTGTTCTCATTTGGTTCTAAGAATGTCTTGATTTCTTCTCTCATTTCTTGATCCATTCCTTATTTAAAAGATAATTGTTCCTCTGTTTGTTGTTTCTATTAGTTTGTGGGTTGTTGTTTTTTTCTGTTAATTTCTAATTTCATTCCATTATGATCTGTTGTTTTAAAAGACAAAGGCATAAAATAATCATAAATCTGTGTTAGTGGATACACAATATAACAAGATAGTTTGTGACATCAATAACATACAATGAGGAATGTAAAAAAAATGGGCATTTGTATGGATTGAGATGTTTTATATAACACCCAAGGTAATCACAAAGAAATAGCTATAGAAGATAAAATGAGAAAGAGATCAGAAAGTGACACTAGAAAAATTAACACAAAAGAAGGCAGTAAGAGAGGAAGCAGAGACAAATAGATACCCTGCATGGCACTTCACTCTGTCCCACAGATAACCAGTTACAATGGTCAAGGAGCAGATTGGCTCCACTCGTCTCACCAGCTGTTGACGTTTGAGATTTTAGTCTCAGGGCTACAGGTTTTTGTTTTTGTTTTTTCCTCCCAAGCAACAGTGGGAGCAACTTTTTTGAGGGTTCTGCTCACCTCCCAATGGACCCATTGTAAAAATTTAACCCAATCTCGATCCAGGAGTCTTTTCCGATGTCTGAAAATGAAGAAGATTCAGTCTCTCCCTCTTCATGAATCTGCCTCAGTGCCTTGACATACACAAGTGGACTCTCAGCCAAAGGGCCACCCCAATCACTGTACAGGAGTGAAAGGGCCTTACGGGAGGTCAGAAGGGGCTTTCCCAACAGGCGACGAGGAGTCTGGACATTGTTATCTGCAGGAAAGACCGTGTGGCAAGATGGAGATATCTCCTAAGTCTTCAAGAAGAACAAGAAAGAGACAACAATCTTAAGGAAGTTCAGAGTGAATCACGAAGTGTACCATTCAAATGTACCTGCAGTTTCTGCATATATCGTGGATGGGATCCTTCTGAGAATGCTAGAATAGGGTATGATTATGACACAGAGTCAATACAGGTGTAAAGTGTACTTGTTTTCATGATGGTAATTTTAGGCACACTTTTCTATACTTAGACTGCATACCAATGATTTTGAATAGCTTATGTATGACTTCTGTGATGTCTTCATTCTTTTACATCCTTTTTTTTTTTTTGGTGTTAGGGATCCCTTCATGCCTTAATGCCAGTAATTTATAAGGAATCTGAGCAGTTAAAATGTGCATAAATGATTTCAGTATACTTTAGTTTTACTTTCCTGTTTGACTCAAAGAAGTGCCAATAGGTCTCAAAATCTTCCTGTGGATTTTAAAAGCCTGACATCTGAAGTAAAACTCAGGAACTGGAAGAGATGTAAAGAGAATATTGGATAGTTTGATTAGAGTGTAATAATTAGAGTAGATAATTAGATTTCCTGGTTTTCAAAAATTTGAGTTGCAATAAAAGGAAGTTTTGATGTGCTGTTTTAATTTTCAGTAGCAAGTAAATGTGTATATAGAGGAACTTAAAAATAAAAAGGTCAAGGAGCTAAATTATCGCCTGGGATATCTCAGAACTCAAAGCAAGGACTGTGACAATTCCTTGGGTTGCAAAGCATCTTGAGCAGCCAGTAAGAAAGCAACAAAATAGGACTGGGGATGTGGCTCAGTGGTTGAGAGAAGAGAAAGAAGGACGCCACTAGCGTGCCTATCCCTGACAAAGTTGTCACCAGGAAAAAGTGAGGTTGAGGCAGACAGCAGCCCCTCCACCAGCAAGGGTTCCCTGGCGGGAAAAGGGTCCTGCCTTGGCACTAAGGCAGCATCCCCACCCGGGTGGGCTCCACTCGCATCCGTGGGTGCACCAAGCATGCTGGAGCAGAGCTCCGCTGGCCTTGGATGGCAGTCCCAGGCCGGCTTCCCCAACTAGGCTGGTCGTTTCCTTGGCTCTCCTGGGTCCAGCCAGGCCACACATCTTGGTGAATTCAAAAGTGGTTGAGCTCAGGCAAACCTGGGCTTAGGTCACCATCTAGTGCTCAGTTGGAAACAGTGACCCTGGGTTAAGGGATAATCTGCAAAGGACCAGGACGCAGACCTTACATTGCGCACACAGACAAAACAAACTAGACAAGAAGACCTAAGAAATACTGAATTATTCAACATGAAGACGTAGACCTGCCAGGCCTGCGGCGCCTGTAATCCCTGTGGCAGGAGAGGCTGAGGCAGAAGGGTCCCAAGTTCAAGGCCAGCTTTAGCCATTAAGCAAGACCCGTCTCAAAATGAAAAACAAAAAGAGCTGGGGATGTGGTCCAGTGTTGAGCACCCCTTGGGTTCAATCCCTCATATATTAAAAAAAAAAAAAAAAAAGCAAGAAAAGAAAAAGAAAAAGAAAAAAAATGGGCAAGAGGGCTGGGGATTGTGTTCTGTGTTAGAGCGCTTTCCTTGCCTGCCAGAAGCCCTGGGTCCTATTTTCCAATTATACAACAAAAAAAGAAAAAGTGGGCCGTAAGCCCAGGAGGGCCACTGACACGCTGCCCGGGGCCTCCATTGCCATGCTGGACACACGTCCCCGAGGTCTCAGGGCTCGGCGCCCTTAGGGCTGTGCCCCGCTGCACGCAGGGTAGAAAGGCGGCCGCTTCCGTTCCCTGGACTCCCGGCTCGGGACTACGTTTCCCAGAGGCCTCCGGGGCACGGCCTTGGCGGCCCGGCCGAGTTGCATGTCGGGAGGCCAGTTCGGCTGGCGGGAGTTTGAAACGGGCTGCCTCTGGACGGCCTCCGGAGTGCTCAAACCCCGCGCCCGCTCCTCAGGCGGCGTGGAAGGCGAGTCTGCGGGAGTGAGGAGTTGTCGGGGTCGCAGGGGGAACACGCACGGCGGGCGGCGAGGATGGCGCGAGGAAGAGGACCCGAGAGAGGAGACCCGAAAATAACCTGGCCGCGGCTCGGGAGGCGCCGAGAAGCCCACGTGCGGCCGTGTGAGTGGCAGGC